ACTACTACTACTACTACTACTACCACTACCACGACCACTACCACTACCACTACCACTACCACTACCACGACTACGACTACGACTACGACTACTACTACTACTACTACTACTACTACTACTACTACTACTACTACTACTACTACTACTACTACTACTACGACTACTACTGTTACTACTACTACGACTACGTACTACTACTTACTAAATACTACTACTACTACTACTACTACTACTACTACTACTACTACTACTACTACTACTACTACTACGACTACGACTACGACTACGAGTACGACTACGACTACGACTACGACTACGACTACTACTACTACTACTACTACTACTACTACTACTACTACTACTACCCACTACTACTAACTACTACTAACTACTAACTACTAACTACTAACTACTACTACTACTACTACTACTACTACTACTACTACTACTACTACTACTACTACTCCTACTCCTACTGCAACTCCTGTCCTTATTCCTTATTAGAATATACTCCGATTCCCCCCTCAGGCCGGCAGATAGCGGGCGCAACTACGACTACTACTACTACTACTACTACTACTACTACTACTACTACTACTACTACTACGACTACGACTACGGCTGCTACTACTACTACTACTACTACTACTACGACTACTACGACTACTACTACTACTACTACGACTACTACTACTGATACTACTACTACTACTACTACTACTACTACTACTACTACTACTACTACTACTGCTACTACTACCACTACTACTACTACTACTACTACTACTACTACTACTACTACTACTACTACTACTACTACTACTACTACTACTACTACTACTACTACTACTACTACTACTACTACTACTACTACTACTACTACTACTACTACTACTACTACTACTACTACTACTACTACTCCTACTCCTACTGCAACTCCTGTCCTTATTCCTTATTAGAATATACTCCGATTCCCCCCTCAGGCCGGCAGATAGCGGGCGCATCCGGGTGGTCCCATCCTAACCTGTAAAAAACAATACGAAATCAACATGTTTCTTATTTGTTCCTCTCGACATGGACGTCCTGTCGTCCACGGCGATAATCCATTGCGAAAAATACCACAAAGAGCACACGCGCGCGTTCATGTCAGAATCCTACCGAACACCGTGTGTTTGCAAGCATTTCAACATAAAAACATCAAAAACCCAATGCTTTTTCACAAAAAAATTGTACAAATTTCCCGCCCGGGCTCTCTTGCTGAAATCATAGGAAAACCATAGGAATCTTAAGAATTCTGTCAAATCCAGCGATTTCACGTCATCGCGCGGTGCACTCGCGATGCTCTGTCATGCACCCAGGCCGCGAATCCTGTGCAAAAAAATACAACAAAGAGCACACTCGCGCGTTCATGTCAGAATCCTACCGAACACCGTGTGTTTGCAAGCATTTCAACATAAAAACATCAAAAACCCAATGCTTTTTCACAAAAATGCTTTGGGGTGTCCTGTCAGACCGTCGGGCTTCCTCCGGCCACCTCTGGCTTCCTGCGGTGTACCGGGCCATTCTCGACTCGTCTGGCAATGCGTGCGCGGCATTCAACACGCGCTCGCCAGTTCCCGTCGGCAACCGCCATCGCGGCCGCATCAGCTGTACCAAACCGGCTGGCCGGTGTGACTTCGGCCCCCAGTTGTGCCAGCTTTGCTTCTTATGTTGTGGGAGGGCGGGTGGGACTGGGCATGCCATGCTTGACTCGCTCGAGCTGGCTAGACTTGACTCCTACTCCTACTCCTACTCCTACTCCTACTACTCTACTACTACTCCTACTACTACTACTACTACTACTACTACTACTACTACTACTACTACTACTACTACTACTACTACTACTACTACTACTACTACTACTACTACTACTACTACTACTACTACTACTACTACTACTACTACTACTACTACTACTACTACTACTACTACTACTACTACTACTACTACTACTACTACTACTACTACTACTACTACTACTACTACTACTACTACTACTACTACTACTACTACTACTACTACTACTACTACTACTACTACTACTACTACTACTACTACTACCTTACTACTACTGCTACTCCTATCCTTATTCCTTATTAGAATATACTCCTACTCCCCCCTCAGGCCGGCAGATAGGGGCCGCATCCGGGTGGTCCCATCCTAACCTGTAAAAAACAATACAAAATCAATATTTTTCTTATTTTTTCCTCTCGACATGGACGTCCTGTCGTCCACGGCGATAATCCATTGCAAAAAATACCACAAAGAGCACACGCGCGCGTTCATGTCAGAATCCTACCGAACACCGTGTGTGTGCAAGCATTTCAACATAAAAACATCAAAAGCCCATTGTTTTTCAACAAAAATTGTACAAATTTCCCGCCCGGGCTCTCTTGCTGAAATCATAGGAAAACCATGGGAATCTTAAGAATTCGGTCAAATCCAGCGATTTCACGTCATCGCGCGGTGCACTCGCGATGCTCTGTCATGCACCCAGGCCGCGAATCCTGTGCAAAAAATACCACAAAGAGCACACTCGCGCGTTCATGTCAGAATCCTACCGAACACCGTGTGTTTGCAAGCATTTCAACATAAAAACATCAAAAACCCAATGCTTTTTCACAAAAATGCTTTGGGGTGTCCTGTCAGACCGTCGGGCTTCCTCCGGCCACCTCTGGCTTCCTGCGGTGTACCGGGCCATTCTCGACTCGTCTGGCAATGCGTGCGCGGCATTCAACACGCGCTCGCCAGTTCCCGTCGGCAACCGCCATCGCGGCCGCATCAGCTGTACCAAACCGGCTGGCCGGTGTGACTTCGGCCCCCAGTTGTGCCAGCTTTGCTTCTTATGTTGTGGGAGGGCGGGTGGGACTGGGCATGCCATGCTTGACTCGCTCGAGCTGGCTAGCTTGACTCCTACTCCTACTCCTACTCCTACTCCTACTCCTACTCCTACTCCTACTACTACTACTACTACTACTACTACTACTACTACTACTACTACTACTACTACTACTACTACTACTACTACTACTACTACTACTACTACTACTACTACTACTACTACTACTACTACTACTACTACTACTACTACTACTACTACTACTACTACTACTACTACTACTACTACTACTACTACTACTACTACTACTACTACTACTACTACTACTACTACTACTACTACTACTACTACTACTACTACTACTACTACTACTACTACTACTACGCAACAAGCAAAATCTTCACCACGGACTCTCACTTCAACCACGCACCCAGGGACAAGGAATGACCGTTCGGCCCCCTCACTCTGATATAGAGAAATCGTCCTCTGACTATTTTTTGCGATTTTTGAATATTCCTCCTGTACCTGGACATGCTCGACTTAATGCTGAGTTACTAAGGCCCCTCCTGTGATCGATCGCTGCCTGGATGGCTCGAAGATAGACCTGGAGCCTCCCAAGAATGCCCCAAGGGGGGCCCAAGAGGCGACCAGCAGGCCCTCAGAAGCCCCCAAGATGCCCCCAAGATGCCTCCAAGAGGCCCCTTAGATACGGCAGGTTCGTGTCGTGCCGACCTCGGCGTTGGCACTTACACCGCAGGGATCCTTCAACCTTGAAAGATCGGCCGTGAACCGAAACGTCAGATCGTTCAACATCGACCGATTCTGGGCCGCCGCCAGTCGAGACGACGTGAATCTGCAGTACTCCCAAGACGCCGCCAGGAGGCCCGAAGCGGCTCCACCGAGGCATCAAAGATGCTTCAAGATGTGCGAAATCGGGAGAACGTGCAACAAAAATACTGAAATGGTGGCTTCATCGGGCTGCTTCATCGGACGATCTTCGCGCGAGCTGGGGCGTCCTGGAGCGCTCGCTGGCTGTCTCGAAGGCGTCCTCGACCAGCGAGGAGAAGCGCGGACGAGATTTAGCACGAAAGTGCTGTGAAGAAAACCGCCGACCCACTCGGCGTGTGTGAGATGTCCTACGAGGCGAGACCGAGGCAACCCAAACTGAAGCACGCCAGCCTCCTTGGAATCGTCGTCGTCGCAGGGGAGACCGAACAAACAAGGGCGATCGATCAGTGTCGCAATTACGTCGAAAGGGAAACCCTTCCCTTTGTCCCGTTCCCGCCGAGGGGGGGTCCCAGGTGTCGAGCAGGGACCGACCGTCCCGGAATTCCTATAATCCTACCACGAAATGTTCTTCGAACCCAAATCTGTTCTAAGAACAAAAACAAGGTTCTGGGAACATAAACCCGATGGGATAAGACAAGGCAGTCCCAGCCAGACATGTTCCGAGGACATCTCGTGGGAACCACAAACAGGCTCTTAGACCATTGTTTGGTAGGACTATAGGCACGCCAGGACGCCTCGCCACTGCTTCAAGGGGGGCTTCCCCGGGAGTGGTCCCCGGGGGGGGGGGCCTGCGGGGGGCGGGGTCACGAGGGGAGCCCCGCGGGTCGTGACCCCCCCCCCCAAGCTGCCCCCTCTGGCCCAGAGGCAGGGTGGTCTCCCTGTCGGCGGGTGATCCTCCCCCCGCCTTGGCCCTGGCTTCAAGTCGGGCCTGTCCCCCTACTGGGGGATTTGGGACGAAAATGAAATCACTGTCAACGAATACCCTAACATACTCATCCACTGCCAAACAAAACAAAAAACAAAAAAAACATCCCCATACGATGCTTTCACTGTTTTTGTTCCTCCTGTAGAGGGACAGGCCCGACTTCAGCCGTGGCCCTGGCTCCGGCCCCGGCAGAGCCCAATGCGCCCCCGAGAGAGAGCTCCAAGAAAGGCTCCAGGGCGTGAGCGTCGTGCCGCCGCCGCCGCCGTCGTCCCCCTTCAGGGTCGGCGGCGCTGGCCGTAAGGCCCTCGTAATTTTCCTGCGGCTCGCCAGCGGATCCGGAGCTGCTCCCGAACGACGTTGGCGCCATGTGGTCCCCAGGCCCTTATCGCACGCACGGGTCCATGCAATATGACGCCGGGCTCCAGCCTCGCCTCCCGCATCTCGCTCAGCAGCGCGAGCGCTGGCTGCCACTGCCCGCCCTTCTCGCAGGCGCTGATCCCAGCGCTGTAGCTGACTAGGGCTGACCCGTGGACTCCGTCCACGACATCTTTCTGGGGCTTTCTTGGGGCCGTCTTGAAGCCCTCGCCCAGCTGGTAGCGCTGCGCGGGCAGATATGTCATTTTGAATGTGAAAAAACAGGGCGCGGCACAAAACGTCCGAACAAGCTTTTTCGGACGTTCGGGGCCCGACACTGTTATTTATCTGATAAAACCGCTTTTTTCCGCGGGTGCCTCGCCTGGGCGGCCCCCGAGCTCTATGAGGGGCCGACAGGGCCCCAAGAGGGCCCCAAAAGGTCCTCGGGAAGGGCCGGGAAATGCAACCAAAAAGGCCCCGCCTTCCGGTTTGGAGCCTCCTTGCGAACCAAATCCGTATCAGGGTTCTCTCGGTGCCGGCCCGAACCGAATTGTGCCGCTCTGGGGACCTGTCGGGGCCCTGTCGGGACTCTCTCTGGGCCGTCTCGGGGCCCCCTGGGGGCCATCTTGGAGCCCTCGCCTGGATGACAATGTCGCGCGGCTGGCGGAGAGCCGGGCAGCCTCGTGGAAGACGGCCTGGCACTCCGCGGCAACATAGACGAGGTCGGCCGTGGCCGCTGTCGCCTGCCAGAGAGGCGAACATAATGGGGCAGGACAATGAATGTGGGAGACTTGTCGCAAGCTCCCAACCCCCCCAAGTGTGCGCCCGAAGGGTGTGGGGCCGCGTTGGCTCCCTCAAAGGGCCGTCTTGGAGCCGTCCAGGCGCGTCTTGAGCGCCGTGTGCCGTGATGGGGCCGTCTTGGTTCGTCGTGGGCCCCTCATGGGCGCGTCCGTAGGCCGTCCTGGGCCCATCGGGGTCCTCGTGGGGCTGTCTTGGAGCCGTCTGGGACCGTGACGGAGCCGCCTTGGAGTCGTCTTGGGCCCCTCCTGTGCGCCTCCTTGGGCCGTCCTGGGCCCAGCAGGGGCCGTATTGGCACCCTCTTGGGGCTGTCTTGGAGCCGTCTTGAACCGTCGCAGCGCGCCTTGGGTTGTTCTGGGTCCGTCTTGGCCCGTCTTGGGGCCTTCCTGGGCGTTTCCTCGGACCCCCCTGGGACTTTCTGGGGCCTCTTGGTGCATCGGACCGCCGAAACGGCGGGAAACGCAAAGGGTGTAACAGTAAACAATGGAAGATTAACGTTTTTTGCCAGCTGGGGCTCTCTTGCCAGCTTGGCCCGTCTTGACGCCCCGACCGGGCGCGTCCTTGGGCCGTCCTGGGCGCACCCTCCTGGGACCGTCTTGGAATCGTCTTGGGCCGTCTTGAGCGCGCCTTGGGCCGTCCTGGGCCCGTCTGGGGCCGTGTTGGCACCCTCGCGGCGAGGAAGCTCGGAGGCGGGCTCGAGGCCTCTTTGGGGCCATTTTGGGGGCTGTTGGGGCCTCTGTTGGGACCTCGTTTGGGCTCCTTGGGAGCCTCCTGGGGCCTCTTTGGGGGATTCTTGGCGGCCCTTGTGGCCTCTTGGGGGCCTGTTTGGGCCTCCTGGCGCCCTCTTGGGGCGGAATGCTCGGATTTTCGGTCCGTGCTCCCCCTCTTGGCCCCCTCTTGGGCCTGTCTTCGGGCCCTCGTGGGCCGTCTTGAGCGTCTCTTGGGTCGTCTTGGGGCCCTCTTGGGCTGTCTTGGGGCGCTCTTGGAAACCTCTTGGGCCGTTCTGGGGCGCTCTTGGAGGCCTATTGGGCCGTCTTCGAACGTCGGAAAGCGGAAAAGGCGAGAAGGCCAAAATCCTTCCAAAACCGTCGTAAAGCGGATGATTTTGACGCCCAAAACCGTCCAAAACCTCCTGAGGCGGTCCCCTCGTCCGCCCCCGTGGCACCTCTTGGGGACCTCTTTTGGGCTCCTGGAGGCCTCTTGGGCCTCTCTGGGCTCGTCTATCGCGCCCCTTGGGCTGTCTTGGGGCCCCCTAGGGTTCGCGGTAAGAAGGGGAAGGCCGGGGACAAACTCCCGTTCGTCGGTCTTGTCCTCCAGGACGAGCACTACCAGCTTCTCTCCGAGCGTCCCGGGGTCTCCCCTCCCTGGGGGGCTTGGGAGAAGGCGGGGGTGGTCTTGTCCCCTGGAGACGACGAGGCTGTCGTGCGTGAGTTTTTCGCCCGGGGCTCCCCGGCGACCCCGGAAGTGATGATCGTGGATGAGGACACTCCGCCGGCGGGGGAGTCTGGCGCCCCCCCGCACAAGGCTCTGAAGACCGACCAGCCCTCGGCTGCCGTGGCCGGCGATGGCGCTCCGGCCTCTGCTGGCGCCCTGGCCCCAGCCCCGGCCGAGGCCGCTCTCGCCGTGCAGCCAGCCACCGCGGACGACGCGATCGGGCTCATGCGTGGCGCGGGCCGGAGCCCTGCCCCTTCCCTTGCCTCCGGGGATGCCCGGTCGCTGCTTGGCCTCCCCCGGCAGAGCGGCGACCCTGAGGTCTGATATGTCTAGTTTTTGGCCGTGAACATCCTACGGCCAGAAACAAGACGTACGGCCAGTTTTTGGCCGTACATCTTCTAGCTAGCGCTGAGCGTGGTAAAATCATGTCCGTTCTGCTTCAAGCGCGTTCTAGCTCAATATCGCACGACACTTCAATGGCATTGCTGGGTTAACATGCAATACGTATATGTACTGTGTGATTTATACTTATCTACATGCTTATATATACACATATGTATATGTAACTTTAGCACTGCATCATATAGACAGCAATGGCGTCCATCAATTCGGAACATCCTTCACTGACCCCCCTCGTTCGCACCCCCCTCCGCCTCGTCTCGCTCTTACCTTCTTCGGCGCCATTCTGGCCCCGATCGGCCGCCACCGCAGTGGCGGGCCGAGGGCCGCGGGCCCAGAGGCCCCAGCGGCGCGCGGCGCCGCGGGCCGCGAGGCGGCCATGAAGAGGAGGCCTGCTGCCGAGGGCGAGCAGAAGGCCTCCTCATGTCATTTTGCCCCCACCCCCACCCCCACCCTCCATGTAGAAGAGGAGAGGATGCGGAGAGATGCGCGGAGACGCATCTCTTCGCTTCTCTCCACCCACTGCTCCAGTTGAAAGGAGGGGGGGATGAGGTGGTAGGGGCAAGACGTTGAAAGAGAAAGTTCCTGCTCACCCTCTTCAACAGTTGCTGTTGCGCAGTGCGCAGCAGCAACTGTTCGAAGAGGGTGAGCTGGAAATGTGTAAGGGCGCACCCGCCCACCGAGATGTACGATCCCCCTTCCTCTTCCTCCTCACCCACCTCATCCCCCTCCGATGTGAGCGTCCAGGAGCACATGCGGCCCCTGGGCGCTCGCATTTTTCGGGCCCACTTTGCAGTGCGAGATCGAGGCCTCAGGGGGCCTCGAACTCTCGTCGTGCGAGTCGTGCTTTGCCCAGTTCCTTCTTCTACCCTCCCCCTCAAGATTCGCCTTGACCAAAAAATCAAAGTGATTTGTTTTACGACTCGAGGGGGTCTACGCAGGACTTGAAAGGTTTTAGAAAATGCCTGTATTGGTCAAGGCGAATCTCGAGGGAGAGGTTGGAAAGAGGGGCTGGGCAGGGGTCGGCCGCATCCCCGAAAGGCGCGCGACGAGTGCTTCAAGGACTCCGAGGCGCTCAAGAAGGCCTGGCTGCCCTTCATCGAGTCGCCGACGTGCGTTGACTACTGCACGAAGGTCAGCGGCCAGGGCAGCCAGCGCGACATAGGCCACCTGGAGAAGCACGTGGAGCTGCTGCGGGCGACGATTGCGCTCGGCCCGAGCCCGACGCAGACCGCAGCTAAGGCCGCCAGGGTCACAAACACGAGACCACCGGAACCGAGGAGTAGGAGGAGGAGAAGGAGGAGAAGGAGGAGGATAGAGGAGAAGGAGGAAGGAGAGTAAAAGTAGCACATTGACAGCGACGATAATGATCGGACGGGGAGCGAAGATAACGATGATGAGCGCGAAGATAACAAGGACGACGACGATCTCGCATCTCGATCCGCCCCCCTGCAGGCGGCGCTGCTCGAGATCGCGCAGAGCAAGGAGGAGACGTGGCACATGGCGTCGGAGGCCGAGGAATGGGCCACTACCGTCGCAAAGATGCTGCGCACGATGGTTCGACACGTCACGCAGGCCATCAACAGCAGGACACCCAGAGGGAATATGTACACAATATATATATATATAGAGAGAGAGATTGTGTGTATGTTTGTATGTATGCATGTATATATATATATATATATAGAGGCACGTTTGAGGGTACTGTGAATAAGATAACATATATGGAGGTGGAGGTGGCTTTCGATGAGCATGGAGTCGAATGGGGGAGGGGGGAATGTGATGATGTGGAGGAGGATGAGGAGGATGTTCAGGAGCAAGAACAGAAACAGGAAGATTTTTATTCCTCCGATCGGAGTCCCCCCCGCTCATGTTCGGCATCCCTTAGCAAGGATTCCTCCGCGTTGGTGCCAGAAGTTCATGAGCAAGGGCGCGGCGACAGACCCCGAGGGAGAGGACGAAGACATCGAGGGCGGGGAGAGCGAGGACGCGGAGGAGGACGAGGAGGAAGAGGAGGTTCCTGGCGAGGGCGCTGCGGCACCAGCAGTGGCTTCGCCAAACAGGAGCAGGCCACTGGGCATGAAGGTCCTCAAGAGCGACCTCTTCGTGCCGCTCGAGGTCAAGGACGGCTGGCGCCTAGGGTTCGCGGAGAACATCGAGGCTTGCACTCTCGATTATGGTCATGATGATGATCATGATGATGATGATGATGATGATGATGATGATGATGATGATAATGATGATGACGATGATGATGATGATAATGATGATGGTGGTGGTGATGGTGATGATGGCGCTGATGGTGGTGATGCTGGTGATGATGATGATGATGATGATGATGGTGATGATGATGATGATGGTCGTATTGAGCTGCTGGGTGATGATGACTACGCTTATGAAGCTTCTGATGCGCACGATGCTGATGGTGGTAGTGATAATGATGACGATGGTGGTGACGACGATGATGGTGATGGTGATGATGCTGATGATGATGATGATGATAAGGAGGAGGAGGAGGAGGATGTGGAT